TTTTTTCCAGCTCCCAACAGAAAACCATTGTCAATGCGATGGCGGTCAATGATGACGGTGTAATGGCCACAGGAGGTGAGAAATAGTTAATGACACTCCCCATCCGCCCATTCCTCTCATTTTTTGTTCTGCCCCTCCAACCCCTGCTTTTCCTCATTTTGGTTCTTAAGCTAGAGGTCAGTGATGTACTCTGCTGATGCATTGTGTATCTCCTTGTGAAGGTGACAATGGAAGCATGTGGTTTTGGGATTGGAGAAGTGGTCACAATTTCCAGCAATCTCAAACTATTGTTCAACCTGGTATGCGTGTTGATAATTTGATGTTTACTTTTATTGTTGGTCAAGAGGAGCAAAAGGTTTATTCTAGTCCTTACCATGTTTCAGGGTCACTGGACAGTGAAGCTGGTATCTACGCTCTCACCTATGATATGACTGGCTCAAGGCTGATCAGTTGTGAAGCTGATAAGACAATCAAGATGTGGAAAGAAGATGAAACTGCCACACCAGAAACTCATCCTCTTCATTTTAAGCCTCCAAAAGACATTAGGCGTTTCTAGTCACTTCAGAAAACGTTTACTGCTATTCCTTGTTGGCTTATTATTCAGGTTGTAGTCGCACTAAGCATAAAAATCAAACATGCTCTTTGGGTCATTCAGAGCAAGACTTACCCAAGAAAGGCACCATGTTCAGATTTGATGAAAGTGTTGATTTACATTTGCCTCTTTGTATCCCATCTTGTTATACATTTATATGCTGTCAAGTAGCTATCTTAAAAGCGCCAGTTGAAAATAGCTTCCGTTAATGTATAAATAGATAAAAGTAAAAGCAGAGAAAATTATTGGGTGTTTGTACAACTGAAGTCATTTTTATGAGTCATTTTCATGTTTGTTATAATAAAATGGTTTTGAGGAAAAACATTTTCCATTTAAAGAGGGAAAGTGATTTCCTTCACTTATGGACGTTATTTTCTTAACAAGTATTTTAACTTTTCACTTCATATATCACTTACTCTAGTTGATACTTAGCCATTAATTCTTTACGCATATTTTCATCAGAACTCTCTACAATGTGCCAACATAACTTTGAATATATATATTTTTGTAAAGTATATTTAACTTACCAACCAACTATTAGAATATATTTTTCACGAAAAATGACTTCCTTAGCAAAAATGTCAGTACGACTGGTAAAACTTATTTTTGAGTCAAAATTAGATCCTTTGACTTGGTCCATATAAGCATTAGCTAACCTTTGAATGTAAGACAAACCTCAATACGTTCTTATTTAGCAGGGAACTAAGGTGAACACTATCAAAGCTAACCTTTGAAACTAATCTGGACAAGGACAAACCGCAGTACATTCTTATTTAGCAGGGAACTAAGGTGAACACTATCAATATGATTACCGTATGGTAAGGATTTGCATTGCTTGGACCCAAGAAACCACCAAAAAAGGAAGGAATGCAAAGGCAAGTATAGTGTTTTTATTTAATGCCACATTTGTAAAGTTTGTATAGAAAAAATTATTTATTGGCATAACCAGCTGTAGTTTAGTAAAAGGCTGGTTTACAAGTACGTATAAACGGTTTGCCCCAGCACTCCAAGTGGGAATATAATTTCGGAACCGACGCCCCTTTGAATGATGGTCACTGTGGTGGCATCATAAGAAGTCTACGACGAGCGCAAAACACAACACGAAATTGATGCTCGCTAATAAAAGATAGTATAGTTTAATTATTATCTTCACAGGGAATGGATTTAAACAATGCTCAAGTAATTTCTAGCTTAACGCTATTCAGGATGATCAAACTTGATTTGGAATGATTATAAACTACGATTAACTACTAAAGTAAAGCAATTGGTGATTGACTGCAACAAACTAGAGATTACCAAAGTCGGTTTCTTATCAATATGAGGAACACAGGTTTGACATGATAGGTGCACGATTGTTATTCTGGATATGGTACTGTTATATTTCACTCTTGAGGTTCTATTGATTCTCACGAATTCAATAGTGATTAGCTTATACTTCCAATTCAAGCTCCTCTCTCGATTAAATCTAAATCTTTCAAATAAACTAATGTGAAGCGCGGTGAAACTTGCAAGAATCTATTGATAAGAATGGTCTAAGAGAAACTTCTCTCGAATATTTCTCAATTTTAATTTAAGAGGTAGATCACAAACTCTTTCGATTACTTTAAAGAAGTACCGAAATAAATTAAGGCATGCGTTGAACCAATATTCAATATTATGCTCCTCTTCTGATTAAACAAGATAATGAATAAAATCATAACTAGAGTTAAAGCTCTTCCAATAAATTCAAGCAATTAAGCAGTAATCAAATCCATAAACTACAACCAAGTCACCAAATCATGTCAAACCCCAAGGTAAACTACTCCATAGATATGCAGAAAGTAATCACAAAAAGAGTTAAAGAATAAGAAAGTATCAATCTAACGTTACAATCAAAACTCCCGTATTGAATTGATGGAAAGATGATGAAATCATGTGTCTTGTAGCCTCCAATGCTCTCCCAAAGCTTTCCCGGTCAAAAGTCCTTTCAAAAATATCTTTTTGGTGTATTTATACCATGTAGGAGTGGGTCCGGGCAAAACTACCTTTTCCAAGTCGAAACAGGAAAGTACTATGAGAAAATCACACAGACGCGCCGCCCCATGCGGGGCGCTAGTGGAAAAGTTCAGAGAGCGGCTTCTGACGGACAGCAGCACAAAAGCACTGCCGCGCCGCCCCATGCGGCGTGGCTGTGCAGTTTTCACAGAGTAAATTATTTTTGTCCATTTTTGATATCCAGACTTGGCTCTCTACCCCCGAACGCGATCCCCGTTTAATCCCTTGGGCTTTTACTCAAACTTCTAAGCTCCAACTTGTTCAATTTAGCTTACGATTATCTTTTCAACTTGGAATCACTTCCTGCAAGGCATAAAACATATAATAAGTGTAATACACTAACATTTAAGTTCAAACACAAGTATAATGCAGTAATTGGAGTGCAAACTATGACTAAAACATGGGATTCTAGCATACCATCAACACCCTACACTTAAACCATTGCTCGTCCTCGAGCAATCAAACTGCACTTCACATAGAGACGACTTTCTTATCAAACAACTTCCCTAACGCATCATGCCAAGAATTTTTAAAATAGACTAAGCACCATATCATAACATCCTAGCCTCAAGACTCGACTCAAAAATATCACGCATTTTTCACAACCTGCTCACTTACTCTAACACAAAGGTCAAAGACTTTACCTTACCTTCGCAAATCATGTTCTCTCACACAAACAATATAGAGTAGTTTCACATAATAAAATTCATGAACAAATAGGAACTCTAGATAGACAGAATTAACTCACTTTCAGAAATAAAATTCGTGTGCCACATAAGACATACCATATGCTTTCTCGTAGGGTAATACTCTACTAATTTAGCTCATTCAGTCAATGATTAAGTAGGACTTTAATTCGTTATAATGTAGGCTACGGGACAGTACAATTTGGATATAGTGACACACCTCCCCGAGCACTTTAATACATACAGTTTCATAATTTAACCCCAGACTTATTTTGAACCAAATCCTAACCTTCACAACATTAAGCCCCCATATCTTTAAGCACAAACAAGACGAGAACTACCACTAGCAAGAGATTAATTTTTCTCTTTTCTACCACATACACACTCTTTTTTTCTTCTTCTTATTTTCAAAGTTCTGATTGATTTTTCTCTTTTTTTTTCCTTCCAATTCCTTACATGTGGATCTCAAAAATTTTCAAACAATGAACCTTTCTCCTTTTTCAATGGTTCAACTAAAAACCCTGACCATACCTCCACTTAGCTTTTACAAGCTCGTAAAAATTCAAGTGCTCACGAAAGGTAATATGTTTAAATAGATAGACAATTCAAACAAAGGGGTCAAGCTTGTAGTGTGGTTGCCAAAGAAATAGGAATACAGGCTCAACGGGGCTAACTAAGATATCCATTAATTAGGTGGGTAAAAACATATAATTGGCTCAACAAAGAAATGCCTAAATCACTTCCTAGACTGAACAAGACTACTATTTAGCTTTGCAAACACACGAGGCAAGTTCTAGATATCAGCTGAATATCAACAACAACCTCGCACACACATGGAACATAACTCACTTAGGACCGGATCTATCCCGACTCTCTAGTCAAAGAAGTTAAGTAGATTCACAATCAAACAATTTAAGGTACCTATCCATGAGTCAAGAACTGAGCTTAGGCGTCACAACTAAGGCACTCACTACTCTCACGGAACAACAACGTCAAGAAAAGTCATCTCCATTTAATAAATAGCACAATACTTCACTATTCCTAATAAAAGAAAGACTAACTACACCCGGTTCAAGCAAAACCCTGGTAAAAGAACCGCGACTTAAAGAAAAACTAAGGAAAAATTGTTACACTACCTAAGAAAAACAAAATATTTTTTCTTTTTTCTTCGACTTTGATCCCTCAAGAAGGCAGTCGAGGAAAATCATCGTCGGAAAAGTCAAACATTTTTTCTCAATCAAAAGAAACTAAAACAAACACACATATACATATTTACATCCCCCACCTCACACTTTAAATTGTGGCATGTTCCCATGATACACAAATAAAAAGCAAGAGGTAAAGAAAACTTCCCCAATTTATCTAGTTGGGGTCTGAAACGAAGTCGGGATCTCCTTTGCACGCCCGACCCAGTGCACACATCCATGCCGAGAACTTCTTTTCAGTTTTATTTGGGTACGTCCCACACTTATTCATTTGACTCTTTCCAAGTTGCTCCTTTAGGCCCCCCTCTCTTTTAATCTTGAAGATCAGCATTTTCCCCCCACTCTGAGCATGAGTTGCCTTTCCTGAATATCCATAATTGCACTGCCCGTAGCCAAGAACGGTTTTCCTAAAATCATTGGGACCTCCATATTTTCCTCCATGTTCACCATAATTAAGTTCACATGGAACACAAATTTGTCCACCTAAACTAGCACATCTTTCGCTATTCCTTTAGGTATGATTGTGGTCTGATTTGCCAGTTGCAATGACACAGGTATCAACCTGTTTTCTCCAATCTCTCCCTCCAATTTCCTGAAAATAGACAAAGGCATAAGATTAATGGAAGCACTTGAATTACACAAAGATTTCTTAAACTTAGTACTTCCTAAAGAGCAAGGTATAGTTAAACTCCCTGGATCTCCATATTTTTTAGGGAGCTTATTTTGCAAAATGGTACTACAATATTCTGTGAGCTTGACCACCGATATCTCTTCCACTTTCCGCTTCTTAGACAATATCTCCTTAAAATATTTAGCATAAGCTGGCATCTGTGAAAGCACCTTTGTGAAAGGTATATTCACATGCACCTGCTTGAGCACTTCTAAAAAGCGCACGAATTATTTGTCCATCTTTTATCTTCTTTGCTTCTGGGGGAAGGGTAGAGCATGCATGTATTTGATCTTCTCAGTCTGCTCATTCATTCTTTGTTTGTCTTTTTTCTTCCTTGTTGGAACTTCAGACTTGTTCTTCTCCTTTAGAGCATCCTCTTGCTCTGCCCTCACTTTATTTTGAACTTGATTTCTCGTCAACTCATTCTTTTCTGCTACCAACGGATCTTGCAATACCTTTCCATTCCTCAACGAAACTGTATTTATTATTTCCTTTGGATTCCTTTTGGTATCCGCAAGGAGGGTTCCTGGAGACCTATCGGACAATAGATTAGCAATTTGCCCCACTTGTCTCTCTAAGTTTTGAATAGCTGCACTATGATATTCAAATCTCTCATCTATTTTAATAATGAAGGCTTTCATTAGATCTTCCATGCTAGACTGATTAGAATGTGGAGGCTGGTATTGCTGCCTCTACTGATTCTGAAATCCTGAAGCTCCTTGTCCCTGGGGTCTCGGATTATTCTGCTACCATGAGTTCAGGCTACCACTTGGTGAACTCCAAGAAAAGCCCGAGTGCCTCTGTCCCATAGAGTTAAAATTATTACCACTCTGGTAGTTGCCTCTATCAAAGCTTCCCACATCATTTACCATTTCATCTGCAGCTAAAGCCTGACATTCATGCGTTGGATGACCCATTCTACAGAAATCACAAACAAATGATGGTTGGCTCTGGACCTTGGCTAAGGTCAACTTTCTTATATCTTTGGCCATGGCACTGATGTGTTAGAATATATCATTACTCTCAGCATGCCATTGGTTAGCATCTTCAGAGAGCTCATTAAGAATTAACATAATCTCCTCAGAAGTCTTCTTCAATAAAGGACCTCCAACTGCAGTGTTCAGAGTTCGTCGTGGGGGAGGTGTCAGTCCATCCCAAAAGTCCTGGAATTGCATCCACAATTCAATCCCATTATGTTGACACTTCCTCACTATCTCCTTGAATATTTCCCAAGCCTCGAAAACTGTTTCAGTGTCCGCCTAGCAGAAGTTGTGAATTTCATTGTTTTATCAGCTGAGAAGTATTTATCAAGAAACGTTTTAGTCATATCTTCCCATGTCCTGATCGACCCCGTTGGTAAGCTATAAAGCAATGCTTCACGTCATCCTTCAGTGAAAAGGGGAATGCACTTAAGTATACTGCATCTTTTGATACTTTGTTGTACTGGAAGGTGTTCATGATTTCCTCAAAATCATCAATTGAGTGTTAGGATCTTCATTCACCTTCCCTCTTAAGACATACTAGTTGTTCTGGAAAGTTTGAAGCAAGTCTTGCTTTAACTCGAAATTATTCACTGCTACTGGTATAGGCCTGACACGTGACAGTCCTTGATTGTAGACTGGTATGGCATAACTACCCTATTCTCTACCAGAACTGGGTACCATATTCTCGAACTGGTCTTCAACCAAGGGTTAATTTAGATTGAATCTTCGACCCCCATCATCTTTAACGGTCTCATCAGTAGCTCTACGGTCTGCCTCAGCTGCTATCCGTGCAACTTCTTCTCTATGCTGTGCTGCCTCTCTTGCAGCTAAATCTACTATGTTGTCACCATTATTAGCCATGTGTTCGGGGGTTGAAGGTTACCCCAAGAACTTTCTGGTGAGTTCTTTCTCTTTCCTCAACTATCGCATACTCTCTTCCACCTCTGGATTGTATGGAATTAATTCCTTTGAAGAAGATCGAGTCATACACTTGAGAAGTCAACCTGTTGCCTGCACACGGAAGAGAAAACCCGTGAAGAGTAAAAATAAAAATAAGTTCCTAACGAGCGCAAAACACAACACAAAATTGATGCTCGATAATCAAAGATAGTATACTTTAATTATCATCTCCACATGTATTGGATTAAACAATGCTCAAGTAATTTCTAGTTTAACGCTATTCAAGATGAACTGTAACGATCCGGCCAGTCATTTTAAGGGTAATAGCCCCGATCCCCTATTTACTGCTTCTCCCATATCTATTTCTTCTATTGTGACTTGCCGGGAGGTTTCGTTTTGGTTTTTGGAGTGTTTTGGGACACTCAGTCCATAAATGGAGGTTTAAGCCTTAACATTTGGACTGTAGTCGGAACTATATGAAGAAGACTCCGAAATAGAATTTCGTTGGTTTAGTTAGCTCCGTTAGGTGATTTTGGAATTAGGGGCATGTCCAGATTGTGTTTTGGAGGTCCGTAGCTTATTAAGGTTTAAAATGGCGAAAGTCGAATTTTTAGAGATTTTGACCGGTAGTGGACTTTTTGATATCGGGGTCGGATTCTTATTCCGGAAGATGGAGTAGGTCCGTAGTATTGAATATGACTTGTGTGCAAAATTTGAGGTTAATCGGACATGGTTTGGTTAGTTTCAGCATCGATTGTAGAATTTGGAAGTTTCAAGTTTATTTAAGTTTGAATTGGAGGGTGATTCGTGATTTTAGCATTATTTGATGTGATTTGAGGGCTGGACTAAGTTCGTATGATGTTTTAGTATTGGTTGGTATGTTTGGTTGAGGTTCCGAGGGCCTCGGGCTTGTTTCGAATGCTCAACGGGCCATTTTTGGACTTAGAGAGTTGGCACATTTTCTAGTGTTATTGGAGACATTTTTCTTCATCGCGTTCGCGAGGGAGATCTCGCGATCGCATAGGTCATCTGAGAGGTCAGCTAAAATTTCTCTTCACGTTCGCGAAGATGAAGACGCGATCGCGTAAGGTTATCAGGCAGTGCACCGCGAACGCGTGGGCTAGGCCGCGTTCGCGAAGAAGAAGTGAGGCAACAATAGAGTTTGAGTGTTACTCTTCGCGGTCGCGTGGGGACAATTGTGATCGCGTAGGTGTGAGCAGCTGGTGCATCGCGTTCGCGTGAGGTGTTACGCATAGAGTAAATTTCTGAGGGAGCGAAGTTGTTTTTCGCGATCGCGAGGCTTTTTCCGCGATCGCGATTAAGGAATCTCTAGGCAGTGCTTAAACATTCCAAAAACGGGGGTTTTGCCATTTTATCAAAAATTTGAGTTGGGAGCTCGGATTTGGACGAGATTTTGAGGGAGATTCAGAGATATCGATTGGGTAATGATTCCACACTCCATTTTGGTTATATTTCACTAATCTATCATTAATTTCCTTTTTAATATCGGATTTTGGGGTTGAAATTGGGAGAAAAATGGAGAACTTCTTCAACAAAGATTTCGAGTTTTGAAAGGAGATTTGTGATCAGATTTGAGTAATTTTTATATGGTTAGACTCATGAGTGAATGGATGTTCGTATTTTGTGACTTTTCGATTCCGAGACGTGGGCCCCACGGGAGATTTTTGAGTTAATTTTGAAATTTTTGTTAAAGTGTTGATTTCATTAATTAGATGAGTTTATTATGGTTGTATTTATGATATGTAATTGCTTTTGGCTAGATTTGGGCCATTCGGAGCCGGATATTCGTGGGAAAGGCATTGTGACCGATTGATTGAGCTTGGTTCGAGGTAAGTGGCTTGCCTAACTTTATGTGGGAGAAACTCCTTAAGATTTGGAACTATTGTGATATATGAGCACCGTGTACGTGAGGTGACGAGTATGTACATGGGCTAGTTGTGGAAAAACCTGATTTTTCTTACTGAGCAGCAACCTGTTTTTCCTTTTATTTTGAGTTATACCATTTTAATGAGTATCAATCTATTTTCATTCTTAATTGAGTTATTCCAATATGTGTAACTATCCTGTTTAGTCTAATACAATATTTCTATGTGTCTTAACTGCTTATGTGAATTCTGTGCAGCATGCTTAGTGAATTTCCTGCTTCTTCCTTGACTGGTACTTAGTCTCAATCGTAAGATTTTGTGATGTAGTTGTATTTCTATTGTCTGTGCTATATATTTACTTTGGGACTATGGAACGGTATTCCGGAAGATCCCCATGTACTGTATACTTACTTTGGGTCTACGTACGGTATTCCGGGAGATCCCCCTGTACTGCATATATACTTTGGGACTACAGAATGGTATTCCGGGAGATCCCCCTGTACTGCATATTTACTTTGGGACTACGGAACGGTATTCCGGGAGATCCCCATGCCTTGCATATTTACTTTGGGACTACGGAACGGTATTCCGGGAGATCCCCCTGTACTGCATATTTACTTTGGGACTACGGAACGGTATTCCGGGAGATCCCCCCGCACATTTACGTTTGGGACTACGAGACGGTATCTCGTGAGATCTCCTGTTGTATTTCTGTGTATTGAGTTGTTACCTTCTATAAATTCTTTCTTGTTAAATTTCAGTCTTTATTTTACTGCGATATTTAATTTTTGCCTTACTTTATTATCATATTCTAGTAGGGCCCGGACCTGACCTCGTCACTACTCTATTGAGGTTAGGCTTGGCACTTACTGGGTGTCGATTATAGTGTACTCATGCTACTCTTTTGCACATGTTTTGTGTGCAGATCCAACTACTTCTTATCATCCCCGCTACTAGCTGAGAGTGCTTGCTACTGTACGGAGATTTCAAGGTATATCTTCCACGTCTGCAGACCTCGGAGTCCCCCTCTATTCCCTCCTATGTCATTTACCTTCCTTAATTCTGTTATTAGACTCTGGTGTATAGAGATACTAGTTTCCTTCTGTAGCTTGTGACTTATGATGTTCCAGGTTTTGGGATTACTGTGTATTTTGAATAGTTTGTTGTTTAATTCATGTTTTTATTTCATTATTCCGCAAATGTTAGGCTTACCTAATCATAGAGACTAGGTGCCGTCACGACGTCATACGGAGGGGAAATTAGGTCGTGACAAGTTGGTATCATAGCTCTAGGTTCATAGGTGTCGTGAGTCATAAGCCGGTTTATTAGAGTCTCGCGGATCGGTACGGAGATGTCTGTATTTATCTTCGGGAGGCTATGGAATTGTTC